GTGAGGTTAGCCTGGCCCAAAAGACAAAAAATCGTATGTTCTCCCTCATATGTGGACATTAGATCAAAAGGCAAACACAACAATGGGATTGGACTATGAGCACATGATAAAAGCGAGAGCACACAAGGGAGGGGTGAGGATAGGTAAGACACCTAAAAAACTAGCTAGCATTTGTTGCCCTTAACGCAGAGAAACTAAAACAGATACCTTAAAAGCAACTGAGGCCAATAGGAATAGGGGACCAGGAACTAGAGAAAAGGTTAGATCAAAAAGAATTAACCTAGAAGGTAACACCCACGCACAGGAAATCAATGTGAGTCAATGCCCTGTATAGCTATCCTTATCTCAACCAGCAAAAACCCTTGTTCCTTCCTATTATTGCTTATAGTCTCTCTACAACCAAAATTAGAAATAAGGGCAAAATAGTTTCTGCTGGGTATTGAGGGGGTGGGGGGTAGAGGGAGGGGGCGGAGTGGGTGGTAAGGGAGGGGGTGGGGGCAGGGGGGAGAAATGACCCAAGCCTTGTATGCACATATGAATAATAAAATTTAAAAAAAAAAAGAACCATGGTTAAAATTTTGATGGACAATTTAGCAACTAACAGAACAGTATATCAATACCATTAACTTTTTCTTACCGTGTTTATCAAAATTTTGAATTTTAAAAGTCTTGATATACTTGAAAAACATAAATATATTTAATATACAGGAACCAGCAACAGCATCACAGCTCTATAGAGGTTATATATACATATTAGTTTAGTCACTCTTGAAGTAAAACCTTAGATTTTCTCATCAGTTGGAGGGTGAGAACAGTGTCAGTGTCCCCAGATAGTCCAGTCACAGACACATATAGGGTACCAACTGCATCACAATCACCCAAGACAATAGTTGTTTAACCATAATTATGAGGTCATCTGGAAAATTTTACAAAAACCAACTTTTAAATGAACTTTTATTTAGTTATGACTCAGTTGCCTCAGTAGTCAAAACCCTGACAAAAATCACCAGAGAACGCAGGTAAATATTTATGGGGGCTAAGTGTGGAGTTAGGAAACCTAATGGCCAAGAATCATGGCTCAGATGTTGATCAGGGATCACATCCCAGATTGTTGACATTAACAGATGGCTCATGACATACAGCAGGATCCCATCAACCTGTAGTCAATGGAGCCTCTCTAAAATAACAGGCCCAATCTGGTCATCCCAGGCCAAAAATTCCCTCCACCTGACGTGGAGGGAGTAAGATTAACATCTCTACTCTGTTGATTCCAATAAAAACTGGAGGTCTTGACCAGTATAGTGTTCCTTTTGAGTGTTTTTTTTTTTTTTTTTTTCCTTTATCCTATCTGGAGGGTGCACTTTGGCTTTGTTGGGTTTTTTGTGTTTTTTTTTCTTTGCTTTACATAAGTAAATCTGTCTCAGCCTCATATCAGTGCAGCAGCACTCTTGGTGCTTAACTGTCTATTGCCTCTCTGTGTTTTAATAAACTCTTATCTTAATAAATTTTTGGATTAACCTGTAGCACCAAAAATTCCTGACAGTTATCTTGATTTAAAAAACCTTTTTAAGACAGTTTTTTATAAAGTTATCAAGAATAATACAATATTTTTAAGATAGCCTTGTTAGGAGCTTAGAAAATTAAGTTTTAGTTTAACATTAGTACATTGAATTTGACCTTACAAAACCTTTAATGTAATTTTTAGAGTTTAGTCACTTACATAAGCACTTATAAGTTCCATCTTTTTTATGACAACTTACTCTGTACCTTTTATGACAACTTATTCTATATCCCCTGGGGGAATTTGTCTTTATCCTTTTTATTATTTAAAATCATTTTTTAACCTTTTATTTTTAAAAACCATATCCTTAATACTATATATATATGTTACTTGTTGAAAATAACTCATAAAACCTTTTAACTTAGAGCCTTATATCTGTATGAAAAAAACCAGAAAGAAAGCAACTTTAAAATTTTTCTATAAAAACAATTTATAGAAAGCCCATTTGTTAATAGACCCATGTATTATAAGAGATTAAATCCCAGGTTTTATTTATGACAGAATGAAACAGGCTAAAGTCATTTTTTAGCTACCCAAATTTCAAGACTCCTGCTATAGGCTGGGGCCCCCTGTTTTTTTTTTCTTTTTTTTCCTCCTCTGGTCTGAGCCAGAGTGGTAACCGCTGAATGCTGCATCCTAGCGAGACCTGATTGAAATAAGTTTGAAAATTGTTTTTTTTTAAGTAGCAGAACAGAGTAAAAGTAACATTTTTTACATTGACTCTATAATAAGAACCATCCTCAGGATGTTTATTTATTCATATGTAAAAAGTTTAAGCAGTTTATAACAAATCTTTAACACAAACACCCTGGTTTTTTGTTACCTTGAATATCACATTAACCTTATAACAGCAGTTTAAGAACCATTTTGAAGATGTGTGCACGTGCATGTGTGTTTTATAAATTAAGCATGCCAGAAAAAAAAGTCAAATGCACATAAAATGAGCTGGAATTCCAGGAGCAAATTAAATTTTTCCAGGTGTTTTAAACAAATTGATACACACACACACAAAATTAGAGTGCACTCTCAAAAAAAAAAAAAAAAAACCTTTAGATTATACCCAGAGGCCTCTCTGGTGGAATGGTGGATGATGCATCAGTTCTCTTGTGAGTCTTCCTCTTTGGAACTGAATTTTTGTAACTCATCCCTTAACCTCAGTTGTGGCTATTTCCTGGGAAGCTCAGCCTCCAATACTGGAGGTTTCTTGCATTTCACCCAAAGTGTTTGTTTTTTACTTGTATTTGTTCCCCATCCTGGTCTATCTTGCTGGTGAGAAAACCTGGTAGGTGTTCAACCTCCCTAATTTCTGGAGGTGTCTCACACACTTTCACCTTGCTCCCTAAACCTGAGAGATAGGGTTACTAGGGTGTCTCTGGGAGTTGATCCGGCTCCCATTCTGCCTCCTAAAGGCAGGCCTATTATTTGAGCCTGGGTTCTTACCAGTCTGACTGGTGGGGCTCCCAGTTGGTTCCCGAGCCTTCTCTGGGCTCCTTTGTACAACCCGGGCTCCTTTGTACAACCCAGACTCCTCCCTCCATTGGACCAGCAGGTCCACTGGCACCTGGTGGGATGCTCTCCCCATGAGCTGGGGATGCTGAGTCACAGTAACAAGGAGATGAAAACACCATCTCTGAATCCCAGACAAGCCCCTGGAAATGTTGCGGGATAGTCAAGAACAGAGAAACAGGACACCGAGGCTTTTTAGGAAGCAATATCTATTAGTGTGCCAGTGGATTCACATCCAAAGGCTGAGCCCTGAGAACAAAGGGGCCTGGCCTTGCCTTATATACCATTCTAGGAAGGTTACAGAAGTAAGAAACAAAGTATATATCCATATCCGTATATGGTTACATACTATTTCATTGGCTAGCTTCTTTTCAGTGCTAAGTGACTTTGTTTTTGTTCAGATTCTTCAAGTTTTATCTCCCTGCT